CACCACATTTTATTTCAGAACACTTTCACCACTCCGAGAGAAACTCCACACCCTTAGCCATCGCCCTCCAAGCCACCCAACTGTAGGCAACCACTGATCTACTATCTGCCCCTATGGACTTGACTATTCTGGACATTTCATGTAAGTGGAATCATAAGATATGTAGCCCTTCTCACTCAACATTATGCTTTTAGTGTTCATCTACTTTGTAGTAGGTATCAATGCTAAATATCCACTGTACAGATAAACCACATTTTATGAGTCCAGTCATCCATTGACAGACATTTGGGTTGCTTCCACTTAAAGGCTGTTTTTTGGTGAGCCCAGAGTGGACTTCCACTCATACTTCCTTGCTCAATTAAGAGCAGGGGTTGTATTATCACTAGGGTGTTGAGCAGAATTTTTATAGATCATCCTGTTTGGCCACTTGGATTAGGGAGGTGGTTAGGTAATTGGGCGTGTCTGCCTGGATTTTCCCTAGAGCTGGTTACCACAGAGAGAAGACCCTTGTTTGAGGAGACTTCTCTGGAAAGACTGCATTGATGGACAGGCCTTGCCTTGGCCTGGGATGATGTAGGATTGTTGACTTTGTTCCAAAGGCTCAAAATTTTGACAGGGATTTTCTGCCTTTCCTAGTTTCTTGGCCCTGAGGGAAGAGGAAGGGTATTTGTTGCCCTAAAGTAGTCCTGTGGTTGATACCTAGCAACTTGGGACAAGCACTACTCCTAAAACAATGCCCTGTGTCCTTGGACTGCACAGCAAGTATCTACACTGTCACTCTTTAAAACCTTAATGGAGTTTGAGGGTTGGTAAACATGGGTCCAAGCAATATTCTCTGCCCCCATAACACTGAACTGGGTGCCTGACTCATCTGGGATCCAGAGTGCTCAGCAATTAGCTAACCATGATTTGCTGAGAACTCACTGTTCCCAGGGACATGTGCAAAGGGTGCAATGCTGCTTCCCAAAGCTCTCGATGAAGACACCAAAGGCATTGAAATCTGCCCCCTGGAAAACCAGCTGTCCAAATCTGAAGCACAGCCTAGGTGGAGAAGCTTGGTTGGTCAGTGGTTAGTTTTTAGTTAAGAACATATTTAAACATTCACTTGGCGTACATACCCATCATCCAATTCAACAGTTATAAATATTTTGCCACTTTTGCTCTGAATTAAACTCTAGACATCATTTTGTCATTTCACCCCTACATATCCAGGGTGCGTCTTGCGTCTCTTAAAGAATATGGGCATCTTCTACATAACCATAATGCTATTCTCATATCTAACAAGATTAACAACACCTTCAGTTTTTAGAAGGGAGTGTGTGTGTGTGTGTGTAATCTTTTTCTTTTGCGGGGAAGGGAGGGTCACCTGTGTGGTGCGGGTTGTGTAGAAAACTCCAGGGAAGCGGTTTCCAGCTGGGGAATGTGATGTGCTGGTATCCATCCTGCTTTTGGCAGGTGGACCTCTTGAACCCATAGAGTCGTGTTCCATGGAGCAAAACAGCCCTTTACCCAGGATGACTGGGGAGTCACCACCTAGCCAGTGATTGCTAGGATATATTTTGGACAGGGTTGACTCCTAAAAACTCAGGGCTTGCCAATTTTGGTTGACCAGTCCATTTCCTGGGAGGTAGCTAGCCACTTAGGCCACGTGAGTTCCCTGCAGTCACACTCACCAGGACATAGTCCTGGGGGCCATCGGGGACGGGCGGCTGGAGCAGTGGCCATGGAAGGGGGTGCTCATCATCGGAACGGCCCTGCTGCGTAGGCCAGATAGTCAAGCTATTTACAGGACATCAGCCCAGACAGTGTCTTGATTTCTGAATGCACATCCTAGTGGAAAGAAAACAGCCAACATGGAAAGCTCAGATCTGCCAAGTCTGGGATTATTTTCTTTTTGGTTGGTGTTTTGGTTTTGTTTTGTGTTTGGAACTGAGAACTCAAAAGAGCCTAGCCATCGTGGCCTGCCCTTTCTTGTCAGGCCTCTCATGTTAACATCTGTGATAACCCTGTCCCTTGTTTTGTCATTCCTGCCCAGAGAGACTTGTCTGCGTCAGCTCAGTTCTCAAGGTTCCATAAAGATGGTGCATCCAGAAATCAGCTTTGTCCCCTGCTAAGTGACCAGTCTTCTCTAGCAATGCACCTGCTGGGAACACTTCTCCTTCCTAAGATGTGGGTGGTACCTTAGCTTCTTCCCGACCTAACACCTGTTGGGATTCACGAGGCCTCAGTCAGGAACACTCCCGTTTCTTGTCCTGAAGCGCTTCCGTTCCATAGCCCTCAGAGCCGTCCTCATGCAGGCCAGATACGGGCACCCAGGGCTGCCAGCGGGGTCACAGGAGGGGCCCCTCCACCTTGCAGACATCACACGGGCCGTGTTCAGGTGTGGCCTAAAAACAGAGAGGAGAAGAAAGCAGGTCCCTTCTCATTTCAACTCTTTTTTTTTTTTACATTTTATTTTTTATTTTTTCCATCACTATTTATCTCCCCTAATCCTCTTCCACCTCCACCTCCCCCCCGCACTACACGCCCCCCTCCCCATCACTACCCTGTTGTCCCTATCCAGGAGTTCTTTCTCTGTTTTTCTTTTTTGCTTGATCCCTCAACCCCTCCAACCCCCTCATTTCAACTCTTGAGTCATGCTGTGCAGAGGGCCATGTCAGGGTGGTGCAGTCCCTACCCCTTGCAGTCCAGTGTATTCTAGAAAGAAGAATCCTAAGGTGGCCTCAGAGCCATGGAGTTTCTGCAGTACCTCTGGCTCCTCCTTCCTCTCTACCCACCCCATATATCTGCTTTGAAGTCACCAAGGTTACAGTGATGTTTCCAGCCCTGCAGATGTGCCCTCTAGAGCCCCCACCCCAGGTGTTCCCCCACAGGCTGGCTGGTACCAGAAAGGAGAAGAGGGTACAGCAGCGAACCTGTCATTGCCCAGACTGAGGGGTTCCTGTTCTTGGCCTGTCTGTCCAGCAGCACCTGGTCCTTGGGGTCTGCCAGCCCATGGCCCGCCCTCAAAGGAGCCATCCTTGCTGTTCACACTAAGCTGAGGTTTGTCCAGGGCTTGGAGGCTAAGCAGCTGCCCCGATGGCAGGTAGCAGGTAAGGACACAGCCTTCCTGGGGACCCTCACAGGAATGCCTGAAGTTTTGTGAGGACCAGGTTACAAGCGGCGGTCAAGGGAGCAGGTGACCTTGAAGAATTGCCAAGATTTCTCCAACCTTTGAGCAACAACTGTGGTGCCCACGCACAGAACTGTGGTTTCTAGAGTAAGTTTAGGCAAGGGACTTGATAGAGTCCCTTTCAAGGCCTCCCTAACCCTAACATTTATTATTTAAAATTTCAAATACATAGTAGAAAAATTGAATGTATAAACAATAAGTTTCTCTTATGTCTTACCTGCCACCAAAGTTAATAACATTTTGTCATATTTGCTTCCTAAGTAGCTGAGGTTTTTTTTTTTCCTGGAACTATTTAAAGGTAGTTTTAGACCTCATGATGCTTTACTCCAAAATGTTTCACCATACATCTCCTAAGACTTTCTACATAACCACTTACACCCTTTCACATCTAAGACAGTTAATAACAATTTCATCTGCTATCTAGCTCATAATTAAATTATCACAAAATGTTGTTTTGACATTTATTTTTTCCAGTAGGGGTTTTACCCATTACATTTGGTTGTAAGCCACCTTTTCTCTTTTAGTCTGCTTTTGTTTTTTTAATGACGTTGACTTTTTTGAAGAAACTAGGCTAGTCATCTTGTAGAATATCACCCTTCTCTGTCAGAAGTCATGGTGCTGTTGAATTTATTGCCTGTGTACCAGGTGTTATCTGTAGTTGTGAAGTTAAATCTGTAGGCACAGTTGTCTTCACGCCCAGCATTTTAGGCAGGAACCTGAGGACTTTGTGGACTTCACACACATGGCACTGGTCAGAGAAGCTGGGCTCCCATCACTGGGGAAATTGTGACAGCAGAATCTCAGGTCGAAAGGCTGTTCCTTTGTGATTGATAAGTCCTGTGGGTGCCTTCATGCCTCACACCTGCACCCCAGCACCCTCCACTGGGTGGTTGGTTAAAAGCCTTTGATGAATCTTGTTTGTCTCAGTTATTTTCATCAGCAGCTCCAAAGTTACGACATCTCAGTTCTGTCATTATTCTTCCTAAAAGGATGTGGTAAATGCATGATCCTTTGCCTTTTATTACCAGCTTTCAAAAGACTCCTTTGTTCCCTTTGTCAGAGTCCGATACTTGGCCCCAGGCTTCTTGCCTCCTTGCAGTACCTTAACTGGACCCATCAGCAACCTGGACTGAATGTAGTTTCCTGATTTAAAACAGTCGTCAGCAACTCCTGACCCCTGATTTGAACATCTGGTGTCTTGCAAAATCTCTGTCTCTCTCTCTTTTTTTTCTCATGAGTCATTATCTGCTAGATAAGGGAGGAAAAATGGCCCACCCCGCAAGCACCACTTCTAGAAATCCAGCGGGTCATCGGCCCCTGCCCAGGCTGCTCTTAAGGGGTTGGTGGCCGCTGGCCCAAGTCGGGAGCGGTTGGGCTGATGGGCCATACTCTTTGTGCAGTGGAGAAATGGTGGTACGAGGGAGACAGGAGACCAGCCAGGGAGGGGTGGTGCTTAGAGGGCAGCTCAGAGGGGCAGAAAGGAGAAAAACTGACCAAAGGCAGGCTGCTCTCTGGGGCTTAGGAGCATCTTGCATGAGCAGCAAGGGGACCCTAGGTATACATCCTGCCAGCCCTTCCCAAGCCTCAGTTTCCTTGTCTGCAGTGTGGGGGTGGCTGTGACACCCGATGCAGGGGATTACTGTGAGGGACAGTAATTGCTCCATGCAATTACTGAGGGAACTGCCATCCATGGGGGATGGCATTAGTCTTCCCATCCTTCCTGCCTCACAGGTTAGGAGGAGGAAGAGGAAGTGAAAATGCCATGACGGGGTCAATGGGCTAGTTAGGGGGTTTGGGGGACCTCCTGACGCCGCCTCCCTCCCTGCAGGTGTGAATGACAGAGGTGGTGCCATCCAGCGCCCTCAGCGAGGTCAGCCTGCGCCTCCTCTGCCACGATGACATAGACACCGTGAAGCATCTTTGTGGCGACTGGTTCCCCATAGAGTAAGTTGAATGGTCCCCTCTGTCCCCAGCTGCAGGTTGGAGGGGTAGGGGGAGCAGATGGATATAATAACCATAGATTCACTGACGCTGGCGGGCTTGTGCAAAGGTGAGGGTGGCCTGGATGTGCCATGGTGGCTCAGCCACGTTGCCTGTGAAAGGACCCCAGCCCTGCTCCCCGATGGCCATCAGCCCTTTTCCACCTCACTATATTCCTTATGTGAAGAGTTCCCCAAAAGGGCTTTGCCGAGAAGCTATAATTACAAAGATGTTTGATGCAGTGCTATTTATAAATCAGAAAATTGAGAAATAACTTAAGTATCTTAACAGTTAGGAATTGGTGACATACATTAGGATATGTGCATGCAAAAATGCAATATTACTCAGCCAGGAAAAAAATGTGTTATTGAGATATATTTGACAAGGAGAATTTTTTTACATGATAGTAAATGAAAAAAGCAGACTAGAAAATAGTGTATACCACAATTCCACTTTTATTTGAAAATATGGACAAGATAAAAGTCAATGAAGATATATATATCATCTAGCAAAGTGTTTTTTGTATTTCGGGATGGGTAGATTATTTGCTTGTCTGTATTTCCTACATTTTTCTGATATATCCACGTAGAGCTTTTGTTGTGAGAAAAATAAATGCAAACTTTTAAAAATTAAAAATAAACAAGATGCTGCTACACATCATATTTCTATGAATCTTAACCTCAGATATCACCCACTGTGACCTTGAGAAGAGCTTGGGCAGTACTCCGGCCCCATAGATCCTTCTGGTGGCTGCTCAGTGGCCTCTGCAGAGCAGACCCGAGCAGAGCACCCCTCTACTCTATCTGATACCCTCTTTCAGTTCTTGGTCTCAGGAAAGGCATCTGGGCTAACTTGTTGTGTCCCAAGTTAAGAAACAAACCCATATACCCATAAAGCCCCTAGTGCCCTCTCCCCCTCACCTGGCCTCCGTATCTGGGGCTGAGTCATCTGCCTTTCATCACTGTGTCATAGGCTTTGCATGAAATGCTCTCTTCCCTGCACGCCTTGGGCTCTACAAAAAGTCTTGAGTGCAATGTCATGAAAGGTTTCCCCCTCTTCTTACTTTTACATTTTATAAAATCATTTTCCCATCAGACATTCCCCATCCTGTCTGGACAGATAGTTGCTTTAAGATGATTCACTGGAAATGATACACTTTGGTGGAAACTGAGTGGCAGGCTCCTTATCAGCCCTGGAGCAGTGGACAGAGTAGCCTCGAGTCCCCTGTGGGTCTGCCCTGTGAAGCACAGTGTTAATTGGACTTGGCCTTTGGCAGTTTCACCAGAGTTTGTTCTCCTCAGGTACCCAGACTCATGGTATCGTGACATCACCTCCAACAAGAAGTTCTTTTCCCTTGCTGCAACCTATAGGGGCACCATTGTAGGAATGATAGTAGCTGAAATAAAAAGTAGGACCAAGATTCACAAGGAGGTAAGTATGTGCAGTGATGACAGGGCTGCCAGGGCCTTGGGACAGAATCATGCTGCCTGCTCTGTGGCCCCTTCTCTTAGGAGCCCAGACCCACACCTAGCTGGTTTCTTTCCTGTATGTGTGATGCAGTCATATGTGCGTTAAGTAACAAGTCCTAACCACAGGCATCTTACTAAGGACTATCATTTTGAAGTTAGGAGGGGCATAAATGGTCCACTGAGAATCTGCAGCGTTGTAAGGGACTGTGATTTGTATTGATGGCAGCGTTAAAGAAACTGCTAATACTACTGTGGTGTGTTGAAGGAAGTGCTAAGTTTCAGTTAGAGGTTAGTGAAAATAAAGATAGAATTTTTTTTTAATTCAACATCATAGACCCCTCCAAGATCTATCTAAGAGCCCCGGACAGTCTGTGGACCCCAGGTTAGCAAGTCCTGCTCTAAATGTAAAATGTGAGGTCATGGTCACAAACACATTGTTCCATGTGGTTGACTTGGGTTAAGATTCTGCCTAATGATTTTGGTTATCTTAACAACTGAGTAGCATTTACCACATGGGTATTTACTCCAAAGAGCAGGAAAAAGTCCACCAACTGGCTACTGCTTCTTTTTGTTTGGCTTGAGGCTATTTCTTTAAAAATGCAAGAAGGCTCTCTCTCCCCTTTAAAGACCAGACCCACACAAGTTTACCCTAATTTGCCTGTAATTAGATTTTGGCAAAGGTGGTTTCTTTTGAATAAATTTTCTTCCATTTTTTAGTGCTAAAATATAGCACTCTGGCACTTTCCTAGGCCCCGCTGAGAAGCTGGATAAATTGCATACTGGGGAGAGAGAGCAGGGCCTGTTAGACATCAGCTGGAGAATGAAGTGCCTGCCTTACCTCCCTGTCCCTTTCATGGATTTCAAGTAACCAGAACAATAAGGATACTCCCTGCCCTGAGACTGAGTTTGCTTGTGTGTAGCTTAACTGTGGTGTGGAATGCTGGAGCCAGGGCCAGGAGAATGGGGAGTAGGGACAGGGACAGGCCAGTGCACTCCCAGCACATAGGAGCTACTCACTTAAACAGAGAGGCCAAGTCACCAAGCGTCCTTTCCATGGGGGAGAATCCACTGAGCCTTCTTTTTTTTTTCTTTCTTTTTCTTTTTTTTTTTTTACAAGGTAGAAGAACATCAGAACCTCATGATGGTCAAATTCACAACTCTCTCAGTCCAGAATTCTATCTCTGGAACCAAGAGACACACATGGGGTAGCTGATGTGGCATGTCGCTCTGCCTGGTGTGGATAGCAGAGGGGCCACCCAGACTCCCCACTCTCTTTACTCTAAGATCACCTGGAGACAGTGCACGATCCTTTAATTAAACTTTTCTTTAAAAAAAAAAATAGTTTATTTTTTATTGTATTTTTTCCATTACCATTTACCCCCTTACTAATTAAGCTTTTCAAACTTTGTGTTTGTCTGGCTGTTCGGTCTCTCGGTGTATCAGCTGATGCACGTGAGCACCATTTTGTGCCCACACAGCATAGTCATTTCCTTTGTGCTGTCATAGCTTCACTTGTCTAGCATCGGTGTCCTTCCTTGTATGGTCTACCACCTCTTCCAAAGAGAAACAACTTTTCACAAGTGTTCTTATTTTAGCAGTTTTTAGCAGAAAGGCCCACACCCTCTGGTTTTTCCATGGGGTAGGGGTGACTCTCCAGAACAGGGGTGATCCTCTGTTCTGTCCCTTCCTGCCCCAGTGTCCCCCCAGGTGTTGTCGATGGGAGAGGAAGCACATGGGATGTGTTCTACAGTGGGACCGGGTAGTTCAACTGACTTTATGTGAACTTGACTTTATTTCTGGCTTTTTCTTTAGGATGGAGATATACTAGCCTCCAACTTCTCTGTTGACACACAAGTTGCATACATTCTAAGTTTGGGAGTAGTGAAGGAATTCCGAAAGCACGGCATAGGTAAGGGGCGGCCAAGCTCATGATTTTTGGCACATACACCCCACCCATCCACGTGTAGTCACTTCCCAAATCCTGATGATTCTTGCTCTGCAGTATCTCTCCATCTCTTTCTCTACCTCTCCTCCATCTTGCATCAGACCTTCCTCTCCTCTCAACAGGTCTCCTTTGGCCCTGCCCCCCAAATTGACATTCATTTCAGCCCATGACCTGTCCGCACATTACCAGGTCTTTCTGCTATGGCCTCATTTCCAAGTCTGATGAGATCAGATTACAAACAACTCCCAAAGGTCCTCATTACAGAATGGGCACCTCTTAACTATACCTGCTGCCTTACACACAGCTGTGTCTGGTCATTGGGCATTTTTCATTAAGTGTAGAGAAAACATAATTGAAGAAACAGTCCTAGCTTCCATGTAGCAGTTGCCTATCACATCTGGGGTGCTATACCATCCATGTTATCTCCAAATTCCCCACACAGCCAGCAAGCAGCAAGAGTCTTCATTATAACCCAGGCCTGCCCATTCCATATTTTCCTGGCCTTAGGTTTATACTTTTTGTTGTCTGAAAGGTTAGTGAGCCTCCACAATGGGTCCAACTCTTGGGACAGAACTACGCAGCCTGGATCCATGGTCCTGGACACTCTGGTCTGCAGCTAACAGTCTCTGTCTGGCTATGGGATTTTAGGGACTTGGACAGTGGCTGGTTATGGGAAGTCGGTCTTTGATACAATGGCAGAGAGACCTGTAGGTGACTTCCTTGTCTGCCTCATGCTTCCTCCTCACCTCTCTGCCATGCCTGACTGTTGCCCCTTTGCCTGTAGGTTCTCTTTTACTTGAGAGTTTAAAGGATCACATATCCACCACCGCCCAGGACCACTGCAAAGCCATCTACCTGCACGTCCTCACCACCAACAACACAGCAATAAACTTCTACGAAAACAGAGACTTTAAGCAGCACCACTATCTCCCCTATTACTACTCCATCCGTGGGGTCCTCAAAGATGGCTTCACCTATGTCCTCTACATCAATGGCGGCCACCCACCCTGGACCATCCTATATCCTTTTCTTCTTGGGGGTGAGGGACTGTGGCTTCTTGGTAGGGCCTGTGCACCAGCTGGAGCTGTAGTCACTTTCAGATGACACTCACAAGGCGAAGCTCATAGGATGCATTTTTCCCCAGTGAGATGGTATGGTGGTAGATCTGGTTTGCCTATATTTGGAAATGATGGTTGCAGATGTTGGAAAGCAGATGTGCTTTGGCACTCAGTGTTCCTGGACTTCAGCTCAGCATGAAGGGTGGATTTTTAACTCCTGGTCCAAGATCCGTCCATTTGTCCATTCATTCATCTAATAAGTATTGGTTGAGAGCCCCCTGTTGCTGATATGCAGGGGCTACGACAGTGAGCAAAATAGACAAAAGCCCCTGCCTTCGTGGGGCCTGTGTGCTGGCGGGGGAGAATGAGTTTGAAAGAATTATTTGCTGTTTTGAGCACTTTGGTGTGGGCTATGGGGTACATGATGACCCAGAGGTGTGTCCCTTCCCTGCTCCCTCCTCTTTAACTCTCTCTGGCCATTGACAGACTTCTTAATAGTCATAGGATGTGCCTAGAAACTACTTTGTTTGCATGTGTATGTAATTAAATAAATGAGTCTGGGATTTATCTATTTCATAGGGAAATAAACAGGAAAGAGAAAGGTAGTACAAGAACCCACAGGCCTCCACGCTCATGTGAAGATGGGTCTCTGTGCTAAGGGTTTAGCACTGTTGTCCTCCCTGTGTCACAGGGACATGGTCCTGCCCCTCTGAGGATTATGGGTAGGGTGAGGACCAGGAACATTTGCTCTTCTATACCCTTCCCCACAGCATCCAGTCACTATCCTTCAGCCTTAGTCTGGGTATCCATATGCCTGAGGCCTTGCCTGGAAGGTTCCCTTACCCATGTGCTGCTCTTTATTATTTTGCATGGTGGGTGGAGGCGCTTCCATCTAAGGAGGTTTTCTGGCACTCTGCAGCAGCAGAGCAGACTCTTGGCCTCCCTTGAGAATGGCATGCTGTCTGCACACAGTCCTGGAGGTTGCTTTTCGGGCCCCTGCAAACATTGCCACTCTAGGCGGGTGTGGGCAGGAGAGGCGAGTGGGAGTCTTCCTTAACAGAGCCCCACGGACTACATCCAGCACCTGGGCTCTGCTCTAGCAAACCTGAGCCCCTGCTCCATCCCACACAGGATTTACCGCCAGGCCCACAGCCTGCTCTGCAGCTTCCTGCCATGGTCGAGCATTTCCACCAAGGGCGGCATTGAGTACAGCCGGACCATGTGATGCCAGCCGGGCAGCCTCCAGCAGATCCCACCCCTCGGCGCCCTGCAGAGCCCACCTTCCTGGCCATCTGACCTCGGCTGTACTCTGTAGAGGAGCTGGCCCGTTGCCTGCCCCAGCTGCAGGCCCGGTGCTACATGGGCTCAGGAGCAGAGTGTCGTGGGGCGGGCGTGCCCGGTCTCCAACAGGTATGCCAGAATAGGTGGTGGGGAAAGGGGAGCAGAACTGAGTGGGATGGTGATCCTGAGAAATGGAGGGCCTGCCGCTTTCAACAATAAAAACAGAAGGCTCTGGATGGGCACTTGCTGTGCCAAGGGCTAAGGAAGTCCCTGACCAACGCTTAGAAATTTGAAGGAGGAAAGCAGAGAGTCCTTGAGCCCTTGGCCACAACTTTATTTTTTCACTTCCTGAATAACTTTTAAAAAAAAATGCATTCACATGGTTCAAAAATGGAAAGGTACCAAAAGATCAAGCCCTGTGTCCCCAACCGTCCATAGCCACCCATTACCCTGTCAAGGCTGTCTGGAGCTGCTGTGTCTCGGGCATGCTTCCATAGATCCTGCTTAGATGTCAGCTTTAACCCCAGCGACATCATCAGCTTACAGTGAAGCTCCCTGAGGTGGACACCTTGTAGATGAGAACTCTGCTCAGACATGGCCACTTCTGAATACTGTGAGTGCTACAGAGAGTCCAGCTCTCTCAGACCTCAGAGAACATAGGAGCTGGACAGGATCATTGAGCCTCCTTGTGCATGGACACGTCCTAGAGCAGATTGGTGATTCCATGTGTGCTCCAAGGCCATCTGGGCTGGCACGCACAATGCCTTAATTTGTACTGGGGCTGAGGAGCCCAGGGGTCACTGGAAGGTACGCTGCGGGGTGCACCCAAGGCCATCTGTGGGTTCCTAGGCCAGACATAGGGTGGGACATAGCATTTCTGTGGAGGGATTCATTCCTGCTCCCCTCTTCTCTTTACTGCAGGCTCTCCCAGCCATTCTTCCTGCTCTGGAAACCTCTGCCCATGCCCTGGTTTGGCTCCCGTGTGAGTGCACCAGCCTGACAGGCCAGCCATAGTGTTCACTGTGGTCAGTTTCTTCTGCTGCCTTGGAAGTAAAGGGGCAAGAGGGGGCTTCCTTCTCTGCGCCTCTTCACCGGACTCTTCCCCTGTACTGCCCATTTCTTCCAACTCCTTCCTCCAAAGCCAGAATGAACTTCTGGGAGGGAGGAACCCAAGTGTTATAGATAGACTTGACCCTAAAGACACAGGAGCCTCAGAACAATGAAGGGGTGAAATAAAGGGAATGCCAGACCCTTGTCCAGAACCAGCCTGCAATAGCCTGGGGGCAGGGAGCAGCCCCTACCTCCCCAGCGCTGGCAAGTGGTAGGCAGAGCGAGGGAGGCTTTTCGCCCAAGCACAGAGCTCTGAGGCTTAGTTCCCTGGCATGGTGGTCAGATAATGGGACGGTTTCCCATTCCTGTGCTGCCAATCCTGCTGTCCCAGAGTGAGGAATTACCCATTGCATGCTGGATGTGCCATTCAGATGAACTGCTACAGGGAACCAGGCTGAGGACAGGTGCTGGTGAGTGCCCCGTGGGTCCTCCCCTCCATCTCTTTAGTCCCATGAGATTTGGTTCCAAGGCCTACCCAGATGCAGACAAGAAGCTGAGTGTGGTGCTGGTCAAGTAAGACCTGTCCTTTGGGTCTGGGGGCAGCCACGTGCCTTGTGGTCCCCCAGCATCTGGGGGCAGAGACAGGAGAGGCTGTGTCAGTGCCGGGAAGCATCTGTGTGGACATCACTTGCTACTGGTGTTCCCCTCCACTCCATCCCCCAAAGCTACTTGCTCCCTGCCCTGCCCTCAAGAGTAAAGGGGGTTGGCGGAGTCATGCCCAGCATTGCGGCAGTATCATGGAGCCATCGCCACACTGCACCAGCCTGAGTGGGAGGAGAAGGAATAACCAAGCAAGGGGGCCTTGGACTGGCGTCCACCCTTCCTTTGGAATTCCCAGCCCAGGGGCTTTTCTGGCTTTGTGGTGGAGAGAAGGGGGTTTCTCGAGATGAAGGGGAGCCTGGGCAGGAAAATCATCCCTCCTTCCTTGGCCACTTCACACTCTTGCTGACTGGTCCTTACTCTGCCCTGACGTTAGCTTCGATCTGAGGCTCAGCTCAGTGCCCTCTAATCTGAATCAACGGTTATCATGTGGTTTTTTATTTCTGCCCTTTGGGGAAAGGGAAGAGTCTTCCAGAAGGTTCTGCCTTGGACATTCATAATTGAGCCAAGGCTTTGCCCTGCCCCTTTCTCCTCGCCCCTAATCACGGCAATCTCCAGCCCAGTGTTGAGCAGATTGTAGTGTTTTGTCTCATTACAAATAAATAAATAGATTTTAATTGGTCACATCATGTTTTGCACTTTGGGCCATTCCTGTGGGGATTTGCTCCCTTGCTGGAGCAGTAGCTTTGAGCGGCCCAGGAACTGCTTGTCACTATCAAGTCCTGAGGATGGCTTCTAGCTAAAAAGTGTTTTGTGTAATTATCCTGCCAAATAACGCAGTCCTGAGGAAGAGGTTCTAGAGCTGAAAAGCACAAGTGGGTTCTTTTCTAAACTCAAAAGGTCCTCAGCAGCTGTCCCCATTTGTTCGGGAGTCTTCTTGACCAGCTCTAGGCCTTGAGCTGGGGCCTGTTCCTCTTGGGGGTGCTATCCGGGCTTGGAGAAGGCTCTCAGTGACTCATTGTCGTGGTCAGGAAGGGATTCTGGGCCAGCGCACCTTCCCACAGGAGCCTGGGGGGCCCCTGGGCCAGGGTAACCCATCATGGGGGCCGGGCCCTGGGCCTGGGCCAAGCCTGGGACCACATGCTTCCACCAGCCTCCCGTTAAAGCTTCTGGCCACCCTGAGGGCAAGGGGTTGTGCTTCTCAACCCAATAGACAAATGGGGAAAACTGGTGTATGGGCCAGAAGTTACCCAGGAGCCACACACTCTTGAACGGCCCCTCCAAAGCCCATGTGTGTACCTCTCCCTGAAGGCAGAGCATCACCCAGATAGCCCTCTCCAGAACAGGGCCTGAGGCACCTGCAGAGCTGGGTACGGGGGAGCCCATGGAGTTTGGGAGTTGGAGGTGTTGAATGGAGTAAGGTCAGTGAGCCGGCCTGGACTCTGTAGCAGTGTCCTGGGGCTGTCAGTTACGCCCTTGCTTATTGAGGCAGATACATCAGTCTGCTTTCACCTTGTTAATGGGTCAGCTTCAGGGTTAAGGGGTGACTCCTTGGGGCTCTTGCTCAGGCGTATGAACAAGTATCAACCTGTGGGGGTGGGTAGAGGAGAGGGTTCTGGTGAACTTTGCCCAGAAGGCATCTCCGCCCTCCCAGCCCATCAGCCTTTAGGGACAGGCTCTCAAGGGCTGAGGCTGACTCCTGGTGGCCCAGTTCCAAACCTACTGGCCATTCAGGGAATGGGGTGAGAGCAGCCCAGGTTGATCAGTGTGCCTTTCCACAAATGTCGGCTTGTTGGAGGCTTTGGGTGCTCCTTTACATCAGCTCCCTGTCCCCAGCATGCCATGGCCATGGCTTTTCTGCTTCTTGGCCTTTTTGGGGTGCTTTTCAAGAAGCTTTGGGAAGTTTAGGGAAGAACCATTTAGGGGCCAGCTCAGCCAGTTTTCTTTGGAGCTGACATGTTGCTGTGGCAAATGTCCTTGGGGAAAGACCCAAGCTATGGCTCATTTGCCCTCCATGCTTCAGGGAGGGCAGCGCAGCGGGCTGAAGGATGCACTCCCCAGGTGGCCTGGAGCTCAGCAGTGACCTCCCCTAGGGTGGGTTGGTTTCCCCCATGTGTGGGCTCCTTATGTGGACACCTACTGTGCGTGCACACACACACGAAACTACCAGCCTCCTTTATGCCAGAAGTGATGCCATGTCACTTTTACTACATTCTATTGGTAAAGCAAGACACAAAGCCAGTCCCAGGTCAAGGGTGGGGGATTCTACATAGGGCCAGGCTACCATGATGTGGCCCAACAGAGGTCACCATAGCCTGGGCATCCTGAGATCCAAACCCCAGGGCAGTCTGTGCTCTTCTCTGAGTCTTAGTTCATCAAAAAGTGGGCGGGGGTGGAGGGTGTAACTTGCCAAGGACTGAGTATTCGGGCTTCTGGCATGCTCTCACCTCTGCCTGGTACCTGCCTGGTACCCGGTGCAGCTCCCTAATGTCTCTGTCTTGAGCAGTGGTCCCTCAGGTCCCCCAACCTCAGCCTTCTGGGGGAGTGAGTGTTGTGGTGGGAGAAGACAGCTGCCCTTTCTTACACCTCATGAGGCTCACCCTGTGGACCAGCTGGGTGGCTGCATCCCTCATACACCAGCCCCAGTCACAGCTGGAATATTCAAACACCTGCTTTCTTGTGGCTGCTCTCTAGCTCCTGCAGCCTGACTCCCACTGACAAGGGCCACACCCATACTAATAACAAACTGAAAACAGCTCAGGGACCAGTCTCCAGAATCTGCTGTCCCTGGGACCTATGAAATGTCCAAGGTAGAACCAGAGTAGAGGAGTAGGGAAGGGGCCTAAGGTATTATTTCCCTGAGTCTAGAAGGAACCCAGCTGACCTGGTGTCCGGAGTGTCATAGACACTAACACGTGGATCTGGCCAGAGACCCCATAAGGGGCAGCTCAGCTGTAACCCAGCCCAGGTTGCCAGGACTGGAAGTCAGCCAGACAGTGAGGGACACTGAAGCCACCCTCCATGATCTCATCCTGTCCCTGCTGGGCTGTCCCAGTGACATAGTCCAGGACACTACTGAGACACTTGGTTGCCACAATTGGGTGAAGGGAGCTAGATGAATATAGTGGGTAGATGCTGCGGATGCTGCTAAACATCCTACAACACACATGACAGCCCCCACCACAAGGAATGATCTCGTCTCAAATATCAAAAGGACCAAGGGCACAGAAACTTGCTCTTAGAAACACAGAGGCAAAGGGTCTGTTTCTCCAACTGAACTGACCTAATGACAGACTGAGGGACAGAGATGCATGCAGGCTTTGGCTTTTATTGAGATTAGACCAGCGGGCTCCCCTGCCTCTTGGGAGCACCACACTCTGCTCAGCCTGGCCTCCCGGTACGAGTGGTTGACGAGTTGGAGCAGGCTCCAAGGACATGCCCAGGCTTCTATTTTTCTGTCCCTCATTCAGGACTTATCCCTCCCTCCCCTTGAGTTTTCCTGAGGCTGGCCCAGGCTCTAGTGCTGGGCAGCTACAGGTCTCTCAGTCTGAAGGGGCTGCTGGTGGGGCTGAGCCCTCCCTCTTTGGACCTGCCTCTACCACCTCCTGCGTCATTTTTCCCCTCCGGCGCTGAGCTATGAGAACCAGCCCTGGCCCTGGGATCCCTGTAGCCTCTGCAGAGGCCCAGAGCGGGTTCTCTTGCACAATGGACAGTTGGGCTCCTCTGAGGCCTCCCAGGACCTTTTGGGCCTGAACGCCAAGCCTTCAGAGGTACCAGGCTGAGAGAGAGCACCCTGGGCTAGATCTGTGCTGGAAGTGGAAGCTGAGGAAAAAGAGGAGAGAGGAGTCAATTAGAGGGACCCAGGGGAGGCTGCCAGCCTATTTTATCCTATGATGCCCATCCCAAACCCAGTGTCCTTCAAAATAGGAGTGGAGAGAGTCTCTTTAAAGATAATCCATGTGGGAGGGAGGAAGAAGAGGGAAATATGGTTCCAGTTGGAAGAACCCTCATCTAACCTAAACCCTTCATTTTTCAAGTGGGGAAACTGAAGCCCACCCAAGAATGAGGGAGCTCATCAACTGTAGAGATGGGACAGAAACCCAGAAGGCTTGGGAGTTGAGAAGGGCCCATCTAGGTCCATCTTGAGTCTCCAACCCAATCCTCTGTGTTTTACCCTCCTGCTTCACTTGGACAGGTGCTCACCTGTATTTCCCAGGCTGTCCCTGGACAGTTGAGCTTCCAGAAGGGCTGAGTGGTGGCTGTCATCTGGGTTCAGAGTCCCCTGTGGCAGGTCCGGAGGCCAGGCCACACCCTCAGGCCACAGGAGGCAGCCCTCTGCCATGAGCCGTCCCAGCCAGTGACTCTCACACTGGCCAGCAGGCTGCACATGACTTGGCAGGTAGAGCGGCAGGCCCCTGAGGTGGCGTAGCCGGAAGTTCTTGGGCTTGCTTCCCTGGGCACTGGGGCACTGCTGCTGCTGGGCCCCCAGGCCTCCCTCATAGATGTTGGATGGTGTGTCAGGGTGACTGGGGAGTCCTTGGGCCCAGCTCACTGCATCTATGGAAGGGAAAGCAGGAGGGCGGTGATCAGTGGGCCACAGCAGCCATGAGGGGAAAACAGCCCCATGTTCATGTGATGGTCTCCACATTGGCCAGCTGACACTCAGCTTACTTGCCTGTCAATTGGGCTAAAATGTCCTGCCTCTGGCCTCCTCTGACCCAACATATTAGTCCTCTTTCCTCCCCAGCTAACAGGGAGGCCTGAGAAGCCTTAGCCTCGGCACCAAATTCTCTTTCAGGATTTCAAGCCCTTTCTGCCCCTGTGCACCCCCTACCCTGGGAAGAGCATTGTGGTGCCAGCAGAGAAATTCTGCAGTGGGTGCAGAATCTTGCAGTCCAGCTCACATGTCCTGGACCAGTGACCATTTCTTTCTCCCAAGCATGTATGCCTGTGAAGCCACTCTGGTGTCTTTGGGCTCAGATAAAGGCAAGAGGACATTTCTCTTCCTGCCACTTCTCCCCACAGTCCCGCACCTTCTCTTATGCGCAGCTCAGAGAACGCACAGACCAAGGCTTCCATTGAGAGCCAGTGTGGTGGGGGAGGAGTGAGTGGCCCAGCCCTCCGTGCAGCAGGGCTTTGCTCTCCCCTGCCTAGGGAGTGGGTCTGCAGGTTTCCCTTGGCAACCAGCTATGTGATGTCACAGGGAAGACTTCCAGCCTTCCTAGACCCCCTGAGTTTGGGGGAGGATGATGCCCAGGGCAGGGACAGGGTGGAAGGAGGGCAAGGGAAGGGGGCAGTATTCTAAGGGTGGTCCCTGGTCCCTCTGGCTCATGACAGGCCGCACAATACAGACTCAGCTCTTGCAGGCTGTCACTGTTTCCTCATATGGGTGGGAAATGAGGTTTAGGGGTACTGAGTCTGAAACCTGGGTTAGTGCTTTGAGAATACTGATAAGGTGGTCCTGGGTGACTGGGTAAGTCACAACCCTTTTTTTTTTTTTTTTTTTTTTTAAGAGGGGAAGGGAGGGGGAAAGGGAGAGAAAGGTCGATGTGCAAGAGAAGCACTGATTGGCTGCCTCCTGTACACACCCTGACCAGGGACCAAACCCACAAACACAGGCACATGTCCTGACCAGGAATTGAACCATGCTTTTTGTTTTGCGGGACGACACACAACCAACTGGGCAACGCTGGTTAGGGCAA